CATTATCCTGCCCATGTAATTGTAACCCCTCTGTACAGTATCTTCACAAATAAAATAAAATAAAAATAAAAAAATAAAAAGAAATAGGGTGCTGGTCACAATAGTGATAATGAATAGAGAGTGTTCATTCTCTAACAATTCTCATACTTTTAGTATATCATTTGTGAAGGTAATGGAATAAAATATTAAGAAGAACATTTCAAAGCCTTAATGTTTATTACCTGGCTTTGGTAGGAAAGTTCTGACTAAGATCCTTCATAACCACTAATGCTAACTCCACAGGAGCAGCCAAGATTCGGGCAGCAGTCTGGAAACTGAGATCTAGAACAAGACCAAGAGTAAGTTAGAGAGTGTGACTCCAACGCATTGAGATACAGGAAAAAAAATGTATTTATATTCTACTATTTTCTTAGTTATAAAGATGCCTTGCAATGCAACCATTCCAAAGAATGCTGATGGTATAGTTTCACTTTTCAATCAATTCATGGATCACTGGTGCTGGGGACACATACTAACATATTTAACAAGAGCTAACTTGAGCACAAATCTTTTTATTTCTTTTGGATTTACAATATACTGAAAACTACAGCATGAGATATTTAGCAAATTATGTTGGAAAAAAGCTTGACAAATCATTCTTTGGAAAAGTATACATACATACTTGTACACTTTTATCCCTTACATACATGCCTCAATCTTCAAGATAAATAGTGTAGTGCTGGTGGTATAAAGACTGGGCGTTGGCCCATGGCTGTAATCCTAGCTCCTCAAGAGGCTGAGATCTAAGGATCATAGTAAAAAAGGCTATGAGACTCTTATCTTCAATTAATTACAAAAAAAGCTGGAAGTGGAGCTGTGGCTCAAATGAGTGTTAGCCTTGAGCAGAATAGCTCAGGGACAGCACCCAAGCCCTGAATTCAAGCCCACGGACCAAAAAAACAAGTAGTAATAATTTAAAACTTAAAAACTAAAGAAAAATACACACCTATTAAAACATAAAGACTAGACACATTTCTAATATTATATAATTCTAAACTGATTTTCGGCATACCTAAAAATTTATTTAAAATAGCAGGCAAAGATTTCTGAATTTCTAGTACCTTGCAATTGCCAAACTTTCAAAGGTGCCATTTCGTTGGTGCTTTCCACAAGATGCTTTCTAAGTTCTTTCAACTGTTCGTTCAAGCTAGGATGCAGGTCCCTGACAGAGACACAAAGCCATTGTCTTTATCCCTTGTCATTGTCTTTTCTCAGAACACACTTACAAGAGGGTGCCAACTTATTCTGCATGATTTTCCCATCCCAACCATAAGAATATTTCCTCAATCCAGACAATTTTGTCTGTATAAAGTATAATTATTTTCTTTGAAAATTAAGTTAAGGTTGAAGGTGTATTTCAGTAGCATAGTGCTTTTCTAGCAAGCAGGCGGTCCTGAGTTTAAACCCTAATACTGCCAGGAAAAAAAGACTGTTATCAGTTCAGTGGCTGGAGTCATGGCTCATTTGTTAAGTGTACTAGCCAATGAGCAAAAGCATCAGGTGATCAGGTGCCAAGTTCAAGTCCTGGTCTCAGACCAAAAAAATAAGTAATTAATTTAAAAAATAAATATATATATATGTATATTTAGTTCAAAAACTAAATTTTATACACTAAAAGATAAATCGTACAACAATGATTCCCCACATATACAAGATAATTACGATTCACCCAAGTTCATCTATGATTATTGTTAAGACCTTGTCTCAAAAGAAAAATGACAAATCACTAAACCAGTGATTCTCTACTTGTGGTGAGGGAACAACCGATGACAATAACAAGGCAGAATGGGTAATGTGGACTTCAACTTTACCTACTGACCTGTTTTATTGACCTGTTCTGCTTTTAAGTTGAAAATAATAAAACTTATGTTGGGAAAAGCAAAAGTAAACTTGATAATTCTTTGGAATGCAAAAGCAAGTATACAAAAATCTGTTCTGGGTAGTGAATATTTGTATATTTTCTGTAGCTTTCCTAATCTTTTTAATTTTTCAAACTAAAGTTGGAAAAAGAAAATTGCTACCAGCCACAAGATAACTTATTTCACCTCAAATTCTCATAAATTTCTTAGGTTAGATTAGTATAATTCAAACTAACAATTATAAGGTATTATCTTGTAATACAGTACAATCCACTTATAGCTAATAAAGTAAGTATCAAAGAGATAACATTTTGATCTAAGAGGTAGATAACAAGAGTTTAACTTAAACGCTAGAAACTTAAAATTTCTTAAATCCAACATGCAGGAATTAAATACCCACTCAAATCCTTCATGTTCCAATCTACTTCCAATCAACTATTAAATTACTCATAATAAAAATCTCAAAAATGGTCAAATTACTCTAGATAGCTAAATTACTACTACAGATAAAACATCTTCAATACATGATGTTTTTGTGCTGAGAATGCACATAATCTGAATAACATTTAAAACAAAAAACAGGGGAGGGGGGGAGGATGGGAAGGGATGGGAAGGGGAAACAAAAGGAGTAGGGAAGGGGAAACAAAGGAGTAGGGTACAATGCTTGATAAGAAATGTACTCATTTGCTGGTGGCTCACGCCTGTAATCCTAGCTACTCAGGAGGCTGAGATCTGAGGATCGCGGTTCAAAGCCAGCCCAGGCAGGAGAGACCGTGAGACTCCTATCTCCAATAAACT